CCCCCCCCCTCTGTCTCTCTCTCGGCCCGGTCTCTTCCTGCCCTCTCGCCTCAGGTGCCGACTGCCACGCCCCACCCTTTAGCACACACAACTCATCCGCCCTTTTTATCTCATTCGCGAAATAAAATCGCCCAGGACGTCGCGCCGTCGCTGTCCGCGCCCCGCCTCCACACGGCGGCGCGCACCGTTGCCTATAAGCCCTGGTCTCTTGGTTTATGCGCTGCAGAAATAAGTTTGATCTTTGGTGAACTTCAATAAAAGCATTTTTGATAATCTCCAACGAGCACTCCTGACCTTGAGTACATTTTGAAATCCATGTAAGTCGATGAAAATTTTTTGTTGAACTTACTCAGTTCGCGTTATTTGGGGACCCTATGCGTCCCGCCTTAGCGCAGATGGATGCGACGGAGGATATACTCGAGCGACTCCCTGCCATGTCCGCTTCCTTTGCGTCCTTATTTGCATCGCCGGGACCTACTCTAGCATTCCCATTCCCTACTACCTCCCCCTCCCCCACTCTTCCCAGCCTAGTGATGCGGGGGGCTTAATGAAGTCAGCATCTAGCAGCGCATCGGCGGCGGGTAGCGGAGCGTGCGGCGGAGCGTAGCCGCCGCCCGCCACCACCACACGACAGACTGTCATTCTCTCTCTCTCTCTCGCTCTCTCTCTCTCTCTCTCGCTCTCTCTCTCTCTCGCTCTCTCTCTCTCTCTCTCGCCGTTTCTATCTGTCCCATTGAGCAGCAGCAAGAGCACACTACTAACATCCATAGCAGAGGGAGCAGGGGCGTAGGCGAGCAGCACCACGAGAGAAATGCACGACGGGCAAAGGGAGGAGGGGGAGAGTACGGAGAGCGCGGAGAGCAGCCGGCGCTCGGGTTGGTTAACCCGCCAAAACCAGCAACTCGTCGGCGCCGGAAACAGCGCGCGGGCGCGACACGGTGGTGCAGGCGGCAGGGCGGGGCCACGCTGTGTACACGCCGCGCCCCGCCACTCCCCGGGACACACACTTTGGGGGCGGGCGGGGGAGGGCGACACCGAGGCTCATTCAGAAATTTCCCTGAAAAATTGAAAACTTTTCCAATAAGAAAGTTGCAAAAAATTTAAAATTATTCCAGAAAATGTTAGAAAATGTTGAACTTTTTAGGAAAAAATTGAGAGGTGTAGGAAAAAATTATTTCAATCCCTAGTTGCATCGTTTTATTAACTAACGACTCTCAGCTACGCGCAGAGATGAGCCTATGCCGCGGAGCGAGTCGTGGTCGGCGCCGGACCGCTGGCAAACATAATTAGGATATTGAGCCATCAGCCTGCTCCTCCTCTGGTACCGTAGTAGACGCCTCCAAGTACCTCCTCCTCCTCCTCACGCTGCGCGGCGGCCTGTTTGCCATACACGTGTCCGGCTGTCTTCTTCTTCTCGTTTCGTTTCATCGCCGGGACCCGCCCGGGGGGGGGGGGGGTGTAACTCCACCTGCAACGCGTGCCAAGACACCGCCGCCGCGGCCCGCGGCCTCCCTCGCCACCCGGGGCGATAAGACATGCACATATCGCCAGAGCAGTTGACCACCAACCGCCGCCGCGAGCCGCGCTCGTCCACTCGGCACGAAAGGACGAGGGGACGGGGGGCATAAAGTGTTGCTGCACCTGGCGCTGTCTGCCTGCGGGGAGGGAGGTGGGGGGATAGGATCATTTAGAGATGAAGAGGAGGCAGAGCTCGTTGGAGTGCCCCCCCCCCTCCCCTCCCCCTTTGCGCCTCTTGCACGACGCCTTGCCGGAAACACATTAGTATTTGCCATTTGGACGCCTTCGCGATGAGGGCTTTTAAAATATGACAAACGCGCGCCGTACGGCGGCCCGACTGTGCGAGCGACTGTGCGAGCGTTGTGTTGTGTCCTTGCTGGAATGGAGGCGTGTGAGCTTGAGTTGGAGGAGGCCAGTTGTTGGTGTTACGACGCGAGCGCGACATCTCTCACTGCAAGAGTCGAGTGAAAATTAAAATGTAAATCAGTCCCCGGCGCCGCGCGCGTCTCTGGAGCCAAATGACCCCCGCGCGACTGAACATTAACATCCGATTAGAGAACAACAAGAAGATACGCGTTGATGCGGCGCGATATTCGGAAATAAGGAGAACAGTCGAGTGGTTACGAGCGACTTGAAATTGATTCTCAATTCGCACCATACAAGTCGGTGGCGAGGCAGGGGCGGGCAAGACATGCCGATGCAATGCGAAACGCGGATTACTAGTTGCATGGGTGCGAACCAGGACCGCGGCGTCGTATCGCCCCGCGAGCTTTGGCTGAGCTCTGAGTATTTGGAAGAAACAAAAGTGTCGCGGCCGCTGTAAGTGGACGAGCTGCGGCGGTGGAGATAGAGGTGGTGGATGTGGGAGGGTTAATGGGTTGCACCGGGGTGGGGCGTGGCGGGGCGTGGCAGGGCGTGGCGGGGCGCGGTGGGCCGCGGTGTGGCCCGCGGTGCCGGCGGCGGCAGGCGGGCGGAGCAATGGCTTGTCTGTTCACAGCAAATTATCGGCCCACGCCCTAACACCCCGCCCCGCTGAGCCCGTGTCCCAGAGCATATTGTACCTTGCCGACACGTTTTCGCCTTGTCTTTTGCAGCTCACGTGGCAGGAGGCGGCCGACGATACACCACACACACACAGGAGAGAACACTATGTATTTGGATTAGCGGATTTAGTTGTTTTGATTCGAAATGTGTCTTTCGTATGCATGTAAAGAACGCGTTACTATGTCAGTTCACAAATCGGGAACTCAGAGATGTCAGGGCAAAAAACAAATCAGCGTTCTTAACTCCGTCACAAAGATGAGAATGAATGAAGCCAAATTATCGCAGCACCCTTGCATTGATTTCTTGCACGAAAGTAAAGCTGTGGGGGCGGAAAGCGCGGGTAAGCGTTTTTATTTGCATAAGTCGGGTAAGAAAGTATCCATGACGCGGTGGTTCATGTAAAAATGTAACATCAATTATCAACTTCTTTTACATACATATCACAAAAAGACGGGTACGAAACTATATCGTTGTACAGATCATTTCTGGGGCACTGCAGATGTTCTTTTAATTACTAAGCGAGCGCAATTTTCGCGACGACGCGGGCCGTTTTCCGCGAGACGATGAGCAGAGTCACTCACTCAAGACCGATTTTTGATGACCGCTCACAAAGATTAGGAGAGGCACGGCGGCACCTTCAAAACGAACGGGTCAAGAGCTTCGTCAATTATAATAGCCCCCATTCCCGGCATAGGCACTACTAGGTATTATATAGGTCTGCCGCAGTTTTCGCCTCGGCGTGTATTACTACTTCTACAAACTCGGCCGGCTTATCCGCTTTACGACGAGCAGTAACGCCCGACGCGAGATGAGAAATATTTCGTTTGGAGGGCGAGCGTAACCAAGGCAGGCAGAACGATACTACGGGGAGGAGAGGCGCGCGGGGGGGGAGAGAGTCCGGCGTGCATCGTGAATCGGCATTAGCGGGGGGGATTAGCAACATTTCGCATGCGCATGCGAACCGATGCGAACTCCCGCGCGCCGGGAGCGCGGCACCCCCTTATGGCGCTGCATAAGCCGCGGGGGAGGTCAAGCAGTCGCTCGCACGCCGCCGATCCGCGCTCGCCGTGTTTGATTTACAATCCCATCTCCATTCATTATTAGCATCATTCCGATATTGGTTATTTTTTGCAGCGATTGAGACGCCTATTTACCCGCTTGATTTATTTTACGGGATGAGCATCGTACGGAGGATTATTATTTCAATGCCCTTTTAAGCGGCGCTACTGCGACATGCACGCGGCCGCGTGGAGCGGACTGGTCGGTCGGTGAGCATCTTTCTCATACTTCGTGAGCGGCGGGCGATATCGCGGAGAGGACGAGACCTTCCCCGTGGCGAGGCGCGCCGGGCCGGGCACGACTTGTCGGCGTCCTGGAGCCCCGGAGCGGGCCGGCGGCGTGGCGTGGCGTGGCGAGGGAAGGTAAGTGCAACTCTCCATCCTGGAGATAATCCCTCGAGATATATAGTAACCCGCGCCGACGCGTCGTCTTGGCGTGGGCGCGCGTTAGCTCGGCCAGCGCAGCCGCATCGTGCGGCTCACAAGTGGGCCGGGCCCTTGGCGTAGGTCGGGCGCAAGGGCCAACAGGTGTCGTCCTTGGGCGTGGCGTGGCGTGGCGAGGCGTGGCGGGGCGTGGCAGGGCGTGGTGGGCGCCGTGGTGGGTGGCAGGGCGCCGCCGCGGTCCACGTGGTGCCCGGTGGCGTTGTTTACGTCGCCCTCACTCACCTGCTCTCCGTAGGCCGGCCGGCGAGTCCGCGGAGCACGAGTTATTGTATAGTTGTTATTTCCAAGGGGATCACGACGACGACGACGACGACAGGAAGCACAGCTGGGCCGCAGCCCGTCACTCACAACACGACGCACTCGCATCACATCACTGTCACTCGGCTTGTCACTCGGCGAGCCTATATACACCCCTCCCCGTCACTCACTTCACTCCAAACACGCGCGCGCCGCACTCACTCGCGTGCGTGTCGCCCGCAGCCGTGTGTGGACTGGTCCGCCGCCGCGCGCGCACTACCCAGCGGGAGCGGCGCGCCGGGCCGGGCGGGCGTCGCG